TGAATTCATTCCAACAGATACACTTTTTCTTAATTGCGGCCTCTTAATTTTTTTATTTTAGTACTTGTAATATTTAGTGCTTGTAATATTTTTTAATGATGTTTTAGTTTTAATTTTTTATGATGCTGTTGCTTCAAGTTGTTGAACAGAGCCTTGGTTTCTTTACAGAAAGTCGGTATAAAATATTAACCATTAATAAATCTCCTGTGGGAGTCAGGAAGACTAAAGTCCAAAGAGGGTCTCCCCCTCTTTTCCTCCCTTGACAGATGCTATGGGGATTCTGTTATTGTTCCAGCCAACTCACTGCCTTTAGTTTTTCTACCTGAGTCAAGGGAGATGGTGGTGTGGCTCCAGGATCCCTGAGCATTCATGCTGAGGCCACTTTGTCTAGTGTGCCTCATGTAGAGGTGGAAAATAGATCTGACTCACATGTAAGTAAATTAACAAAAGAATTGGCTGGGAACTTAGATTCAAAACATGGGACTTTGTACACTTTCCAGAGGAAGAGAGCTCCCAGCAGAGTTAGAAACACACTCAGAGTTCGCCAGCAGCATAATGTGAAATATAGGTTGCTAAACCCTTTTGCATATTTTGTTTAGTCTGCCTTAAAATGCTTGCCCCCTCGCTCTACCCCTGTAGCAATGAACTGATCACACACTGTTACGTAAGTTTAAAAGCTTTGCTTACTAAATCCAAAGGTCTGATTCCTGCACTGTTCCATGCAGCAGCAAGGAGAACACAGGTTGACTACTCTTAGGTGCAAATACACAATATAGTTTCAAGCCTGCAATCTTAACTTTGAGCAAATTCAAACGCATCTGTCCTGATGGATTATTTGGCAAGAAGAGAGTAAGAAGAAGGAAGAGAAGCAGCTTCACTTCCTCTCTCGTGGATGTAATGGAACATGACCCAGCTGAGTCTAAGAGCAGAACTTTGCTGTCTTAACCCCTTAATGCACTAACTAGCACTCATGCATAGCTATGTATGACAGGGTACCGCACAAAGACAGACTCTGCATATGCGGTACATCACTTCTTAGTGATGTAAACGCTTAAGTGACTCATAAAGTCGCCCTTTTTGCTTTGCTTTGGAACAAATATTTAAGCGATAAGACGGATAGTGGTGGGAAGTGTGGGGAGGAGAGAGGGGTGGGAAAATATTGTTAAAAAAGGTGTAGTCATAGGTATATCAGTGTATTCAAATCTGAATTGTCAAAATGTGTTATTATTGTTATTATGGTTTTTGTTGTATGTGTCTTTTGCGGTTGGTGTTTGTATTGAAAAAATGATTAAATAATTCTTTTAAAGAAAGAGGTTGACTAGCTGAGTCCAGAAAATGACAAATGCTTCTTTACAGGAGGAAGTTGTCTCAGTTGCCTTAAAAGAGGCCACTTCTGAAGATGACTTCCCTGGTTGGTCAACCACAAATACCCCTGTCTTGGGCAAAGTGCTCAAGTGGGTGCTATCCATGCCAGACCTTACCTAGATACATTGCAATCTGGTTTTGCACCCAATCTGAGGTGCTGCTGTTCACCTTTAAAGCTCTGCATATCTGGTTCTTCACCAACTGCCCATGCATAGTTGTCATCTTTGCAGGCCTTTATCTAGATGCCCTTCATCATTGGAGGTGAACTGTGAGGCAGCCAAGGAGAAGGAGCTCTCAGCCCTGTAGCTGCTCCACATGGCCCTGGGTGTGAGCTCTGTGAAACCTTCAACCTGCACAGGTAGGCCTTTGTGCAGTGGGAACTGGTTTTCCATGGCTTCATCAAACACCATTTAGACTCAGCTGCCCCCCTGCCTCCCCTTGCCTATGTTTATTGGGGGGGCACAGAAAGGAAACAAAGTCAGAAGGGAACCGTGGGAAGGTTGGGAAAAACTGATTTAGAGTACACCTTAAGTTGCAAAAGGAATGGGGGACTTTTGCTCTGAGAGATAAAAGCCTTACCAAAAGTCATGGCAGGGAAGATCAGAAGCTGCTGATCAGCTGCTAGACGACCACATCCATGTGAGCAGATCTCCAGGGGCAACTACCCCATGTACAGGCAAGAAAAGAGAACGAAATGATCCCCTGAGGTAGCCTCTGCCTTAGGAATCTCAGAACGACAAACCAGACTAAACACTGACCTCCCCACTTCCCCCCACCCTAGTAATATAAGCAATGACACGACAGGAAAACTTGGTATTTTGCCAAGCCTGCTAATGGGTTTCTCTGCAATTTAGAAACAAATGGCCTGGGTGCAACTGAAAACCAAATTGGGAAGATGTTAAGCTTGGCGCAGCAGCTGCGCTCAGCTCTGCTCCCTCCCATCAAGCCTATTTCTTCCCGCAGGGTGCTTTGCCTCTCCTTAGCCAAAGAACCATCTAGAAGCAGCAGTATCTCATCAGCTCTCCTGAATGCTGAAAACCTGCAGTCAATGGACACAGGAAGACACAGAGAGAAGGGTATAGAGTAGGGATGGGAATCGTTTTTTGATTCAGAGGGTCACTTTCCTTCTGAAGGAATTGATCAGGAGTTGCATACTGGCAGTGAGTGAGTGAGTGAGTGGGAGGGTCAAAGCCTAGCAGAGTAGCATGGGGGGGCACAGGGGTATTGCCCCCAGCGCAATTGTTAGGGGAGGCAAAACTTCAACTCCTGGTGCTGCCTCAGTACAGCTGTGCACTTCTGTGGCTGGGCTCCATTTGAAAAAGGCTTCTCCATGTGAACCAGGAGTGACATTTGCAGGCAACAGAATGACTTTTTTCCTTTGCAGCTGCAATCTCCTGGGTGACTCGGACACCATGAAGCAGTTGAATGCGTACTCCGTCCATTTCCCTCCCACCCACCCTGTTTCCTTGCTGCGCCGGGCACTGGCAACCCACACTACACCACTGGCCTAATGCAGGCGGGTCCAGAGCCCAGAGTGGCCAGGCCCAAAACAGACATGCACACGTCACATTCCACCTCTCTCTCTCCCTCCCTCCCTCTCTCTCTCTCTCTCTCTCTCACAGCTTCCATGCTGTGCACTCAGAAAGAGGCTTATTCTTCAGAGCTCAGCATGAAGAAAACACAGCAAACTGTCCATGGAGGAAGAGAACTATTTCATCTTCCATGGCCAGCTGTGTCAGAATGATGAAGCAGAACACTCTGTCAGCCTGTTTGGCTTCTGTCCCAGCTGAGGAAGTGTCCGTTTATAGGACGGAAGCAGTTCAGGCTGCTAAGGCAGGGGTGGGGAAGCTGGTGCCAGCCAGATCACAGGTCATCTATGGAGCAAAATCTCTGAGGGGTGTGGCCTGTGGAGCCAGGAGGGGGCCTGGGGAGAGTCCTGGCGTCTGCATTCAGCTCTCCTGACAGAGGCCCCTATCTTCACCCCGGGATTACACTGTAGTTAGGAACGGACCCCTCTCTCAGTTTCAGTGCTCTCACTTCCCAATCTTAAATTCAGTTATCAACATTTCTACAGTAGTTTGTGGGTTTTCATTAGAAAAAAATACGTATGAAAATTAGCCAACCTTTTAGTGCAAACTTCTCCTAATGAACACGTCTCGATGGCCCTTGTGGTCTCTTCCAACTCTATGATTCTATGATTCTATTATGTCAGGAGTGCTCTGATGGTGTTTCCTGCTTGGCAGGGGGTTGGACTCGATGGCCCTTGTGGTCTCTTCCAACTCTATGATTCTATTCTATGATTCTATGACATCTGTGTATGCAGTTTTGACTGAAATCCATATTTTTGCAAGCAATTTCAGCTAATATACTGCATTTTTTGCATGCTATTCTCACTAATAAATGAAATGCACATTTCCCCCCACCCCACCCCAATATATGCATTTTTCTACATACTGGTTGGCTGGATAACTGCATTGCAACATTCGAAGAAGTGCAATTTTGGGAAGCTGACTGCATTTGGGTAGTTTCTCATTCAAATGCAAACAAAATGCAAACAAAATCAAATTTATCTCCCCCTCCTCCCTAATTGTAGTACATAACACTCTTTGTCCTTGTTTGTGACATCAGCTAGGTGGATCTGCTTGATTCCTAAGATTCTAGATTGTATGGCACAGAATTATGTTGTATTTGTCATGGGGAAAGAGACACAGATACAGATATGATTTTTCACCAGAGCTGCTCTCAGTGTTTGAAAGCAAGCAAGGGAAATGTAAGTATTCGAGCCACATAGAGGCCCTTAATCTTCGAGGAAGATAGTGGGCAGAACAAAATTAAAAAGCAGTTTGAGGATTCTTCTTGTTTTTAACATTCCAGGCAGATGATCTATTATTTGGCTGCTCTAAGAACGCAATAAGTTTCTGGGTAGACTGATGTTAATTGAATCACAGTTCAATTCTCTTTGTCCAGGGAAGCAATCTGTCTAGAACAGTTGTGTAAGGATTATAGATTGTGGCTTCAAGCTTTAATTGTTTTAGTCCAGGCATGAAAATAGCTGCTCACTTGGCCCCATGTGGCAAGTGAGAATTTCCTCCTGGCAACTTGGCTGGGAAACTTTTTGCAAAAAGGAGGTGCTTCCTTCAGGCCATTGATGTGCCTCAAATGAATATCGCCATTTATTCTGGACAGGGAGACTAAGAAAAATATAGAGAGACAGTAGCTTTTGTGGGCTAACATGCAGAGCAGTTTTACTTGGTTTTACAGATTTAGCTGATTAATTAAAGAGCTGGCCCTAACCAATTACATAGCTGGAAATTCCAGCCATAGTCGTTCATTTCTTAGGCTATTTTTATTCTGGGGTGTTACTCTAAAAGTGCCCATCATCACAGGGCCATAAAGTTGCTGCAGAGCAAGAATGAGAGCCAAGGGCTACCCCACTTTATATGTTATTATCTGTGTTTTTAATGAACAAGGTGGCGGCAGAGCCTTGAAAAGAGGCCCCACAATTTCAGGTGCATCTGCAAACGACTCTGTTTAGAAGCTATTTTTGGCATGCTAGCTGTATATCAATTAACTAATAATATTCAATGGACATTCATCAGTTGAGAGGGTCAGTGCCAGATTTATGTATAGGCTAAGTAGGCTGAAGCTTGGGGCCTCTGGATCTAGGAGGCCTCCCCCGCCCCCCAGCGGGCAGTCTCCCCTCTCCCAAAATTGCAAAGCCAAGACTTCATGCGAAGATATTAAATTTAAATTATGTTACAATCTTAGAGAAAATGTCATTAAAATGCAATATAGATGGCACCTTACCCCGGCCAAATTGGCCAAATTGGATAAGAACAGATCAGAGATGTGCTGGAGATGTAAAAAGGGGGTGGGCTCATATATGCACATGTGGTGGGAATGAGAGAAAATAAGAGAGTTTTGGAATATTATATATAATGAATTTTAAAAGATGTTCAAATTCCCATTTACAAAAAAACCCAGAAGCCTTCCTTCTAGGAATTATGTCAATAGAAATTAAGGAAAATGCTAGATCACTCTTCATGTAGGCAAGAGCAGCCGCCAGAATATTAGTGGCAAAGAACTGGGAAAGTGAGACTACCCCCACAAAGACTGAATGGCAGGTACAAAGGATAGAATACATACAATTGGCAAAAATGACAGGGAGAGTTAGAGGGCATACGATACAGAAGATGAACAAAGAATGGATAGTATTTAAAGAGTATTTGAGAAACTATTGTGATAACAAAAATCTCCTGGCAGATCTAGAATAATTCTTGTAAGTTACTGGTGATAAAAAATATTTAAAAAAAAAAGAATTGGAAAAACATAAAACAACAAGAAAGTACAATGTGTAAAAAAACAAATTCAGATATAGTACAATGAGAACAATCGGAAGTTTATTTTAATAATTTCATTTATTTATCTTTTATATTTTCTTTTCTTTCTTTTTTAAGCAAAGGTTGTGTATGTAGACTGAATATATGTAATATTACGCATATTGTGTATGTAAGTGTTGTTGTAAGTTCAAAACGAAACAGGGCAAAGGCTAATAGAGTTCTGCCAAGAGAACAGGCTGGTTATCACAAACACTCTTTTCCAACAACACAAGAGACGACTCTACACATGGACATCACCAGATGGGCAGCATCAAAATCAGATTGATTATATTCTCTGCAGCCAAAGATGGAGAAGCTCTATACAGTCAGCAAAAACAAGACCTGGAGCTGACTGTGGCTCAGATCATCAGCTTCTTATAGCAAAATTCAAGCTTAAACTGAAGAACGTAGGAAAAACCACTGGGCCAGTAAGATACAATCTAAATCAAATCCCATATGAATGCACAATGGAAGTGAGGAACAGGTTTAAGGATTTAGATTTGGTGGACAAAGTGCCTGAAGAACTATGGACGGAGGCTCGTAACATTATACAGGAGGCAGCAACGAAAACCATCCCAATTAAAAGGAAATGCAAGAAAGCAAAGTGGCTGTCCAAGGAGGTCTTACAAATAGCGGGGAGAGAAGGCAAGCAAAATGTGAGGGAGATAGTGAACAATACAGGAAACTGAATGCAGATTTCCAAAAAATAGCAAGGAGAGACAAGAAGGCCTTCTTAAACAAGCAATGCAAAGAAATAGAGGAAAACAATAGAATGGGGAAAACCAGAGATCTGTTCAAGAAAATTGGAGATATGAAAGGAACATTTCATACAAAGATTACCATAATAAAGGACAAAAGTGGTAAGGACCTAACAGAAGCAGAAGACATCAAGAAGAGGTGGCAAGAATACACAGAGGAATTATACCAGAAAGATATGGATGTCTCACACATCCCAGGTAGTGTGGTTGCTGACCTTGAGCCAGACATCCTGGAGAGTGAAGTCAAATGGGCCTTAGAAAGCACTGCTAATAACAAGGCCAGTGGAAGTGATGATATTCCATCTGAACTATTTTAAATTTTAAAAGATGATGCTGTTAAGGTGCTACTCTCAATATGCCAGCAAGTTTGGAAAACTCAGCAGTGGCCAGAGGATTGGAGAAGATCAGTCTACATCCCAATCCTAAAGAAGGGCAATGCCAAAGAATGCTCCAACTACCGCACAATTGCACTCATTTCACATGCTACCAAGGTTATGCTTAAAATTCTACAAGGCAGGCTTAAGCAGTATGTGGACTGAGAACTCCCAGAAGTGCAAGCTGCATTTCGAAGGGACAGAGGAACCAGAGACCAAATTGCAAACATGCGTTGGATTATGGAGAAAGCTAGAGAGTTCCAGAAAGACATCTACTTCTGCTTCATTGACTATGCAGAAGCCTTTGACTGTGTCGACCACAGCAAACTATGGCAAGTTCTTAAAGAAATGGGAGTGCCTGATCACCTCATCTGTCTCCTGAGAAATCTCTATGTGGGACAAGAAGCTACAGTTAGAACTGGATATGGAACAACTGATTGGTTCAAAATTGGGAAAGGAGTATGGCAAGGCTGTATATTGTCTCCCTGCTTATTTAACTGATATGCAGAATTCATCATGCGAAAGGCTGGGCTGGATGAATCCCAAACCGGAATTAAGATTGCCGGAAGAAATATCAACAACCTCAGATATGCAGATGACACAACCTTGATGGCAGAAAGTGAGGAGGAATTAAAGAACCTTTTAATGAGGGTGAAACAGGAGAGCGCAAAATATGGTCTGAAGCTCAACATCAAAAAAACGAAGATCATGGCCACTGGGCCCATCACCTCCTGGCAAATAGAAGGGGAAGAAATGGGGGCAGTGAGAGATTTTACTTTCTTGGGCTCCATGATCACTGCAGATGGTGACAGCAGCCACGAAATTAAAAGACTCCTGATTCTTGGGAGAAAAGCGATGACAAACCTAGACAGCATCTTAAAAAGCAGAGACATTACCTTGCCGACAAAGGTCCATATAGTTAAAGCTATGGTTTTTCCAGCAGTGATGTATGGAAATGAGAGCTGGACCATAATGTAGGCTGATCGCCGAAGAATTGATGCTTTTGAATTATGGTGTTGGAGGAGACTCTTGAGAGTCCCATGGACTGCAAGAAGATCAAACCTCTCCATTCTTAAGGAAATTAGCCCTGAGTGCTCACTGGAAGAACAGAGACTGAAGCTGAGGCTCCAATACTTTGGCCACCTCAGGAGAAGAGAAGACTCCCTGGAAAAGACCCTGATGCTGGGAAAGATGGAGGGCACAAGGAGAAGGGGACGACAGAGGACGAGATGGTTGGATAGTGTTCTCGAAGCTACCAGCATGAGTTTGACCAAACTGCAGGAGGCAGTGGAAGGCAGGAGTCCCTGGCGTGCTCTGGTCCATGGGGTCATGAAGAGTCGGACGCGACTAAATGACTAAACAACAACAACAACAGTGAATATACCATAGTTGTCCAGGGAAAGTTGCAGGCTGACCTAGAATTGTTCTACAATTGTTACATGGGCAGGGAGCCAATTCGCATCCATAGGTGGTGGTTTACTTCTAGGTAATGTGTGAAGTCACTACAACCTCTTTACCCTTTTCCAATCCCCCCTCCACCACATTCAATCATGAGAGATACACATTTTCCCTTTGTAAGGTTTAGTTCCACTCAAAAGTGCCGTGTATACACGCACACACACACACACACACACACACACACACACAAACACACAAACACACCTCTGCCAGGAAGTAAGATGTTGTAGGAGCCAGTGTGGTGTAGTGGTTAAGAGCGGTAGATTAGTAATCTTAGGAACCGGGTTTGCGTCTCCGCTCCTCCACATGCAGCTGCTGGGTGACCTTGGGCCAGTCACACTTCTCTGAAGTCCCTCAGCCCCACTCATCTCACAGAGTGTTTGTTGTGGGGGAGGAAGGGAAAGGAGAATGTTGAGACTCCCGAAGGGGAGTGATAAAGTGGGATATCAAATCCAAACTCTTCTTCTTGTTGTTGTTGTTGTTAGATGTGCTTTTCTGATGGATCTGGGGTCCAGCTGATCATGGTGATCAGAAGCTGAGAATGGCTTTGTTTGAAAGGCAATTGTGGACCCAGCCCTGGTAGACAATGATAGAAGGATTCATTAATAAAATGAAAGAGAGCCAATGTGTCAGTATTTCAGGTCTCTGGATAGCTACGGAAAATTACAAGTTTGAATTACTTCACACCACGCCAGTTTTTAAAAAGGTCTTCATTTAAATATTGCTTTCCCCTGCTAGACAACCTTGAATTAAGTGAAGCTCTCATGTTTTGATTTGGTTTAGAATATACATTCCTTAAGACAAATCTCAAGGGGTTGTTTCTGAAGTTATTCCCTGTGTATCCTTACAACAGTTATGCTTCCCTGAATGCTGGGAGCTGTCTGGCCTGAGAATATATGGAGGGTCTTGCTGGATCAGGCCAAGCAGATACTTGTGGGAAGCTCAAAAGCAATCTCTGCAGGGAATGCTAAAAACATGCATTCTGAATTAGGCGGAGTAAGGCTGGGGCAGCCCACCCAGGGCTTCAGATTATTATTACTATTATATTTCTATTTATATTTAGTATTATGAATTTATCTACCACTTTTATGGTCAAAGGTCGCGTTGTTCCCCTCAACTCCCATGCAGGAGGAGGAGGACTTGGTCAGGTTAGACTGTCAAATAATTTGGTTTGTCATCTGTTCAAACAGGAATCGTGTCTTGCAGGGGTGAAACTAGGCTTCATTTCACTCAGGTTAAAGACCCAGTTTGGCACACACCCCACATGCATTTGCACACACAGAACCTGGGAGCCTCTGGAGCAGGGGGCAGCAAGGTTGACCTCGCCTGGGCCGGTTCACTCCAGCGGAGATCCCTCCGTGGGTCGGATCGTGTGCGCAGCTGTGATTTCCGGCGTCTGCGCAGAAATGATTTTCGGTGCCTGTGTCTGCACAGATGTGATTTTCGGCATCTGAGCATGTGCAGACATGATTTCCGGTGCCACAGAAGCGAGTCCCCGCGCTGCACTGCGCCTGTTTAGCACCGCGTGTGGGGACTTGGCGAGTGGGCGGCTCAGTTCAGGGGTGGCTCGTGGGCTGGTTAAAGGCCCCCCGTGGGCCTTAGGTTGCCTACTCCTGCTCTGCAGGCTTCACCAGGGGCAAAAAACATGGCCCCTCCCTGCCAGCTAGGGCTCTGTGGCTTCTAACAAACTCTGGTAAGTTTCAAACCAAGTCAGCTTATAGAAATCTGAAAGAAGTGTGTGCAGTGGCATCCTGGATCTATATACAGTCTAGATGCCACATGGACCAAGCCAGAGAAGGATGTCAGAATTTCAGCTATAAATCAGGAGGAGTGGTGTGTGTGCAAAAAGGAGTGGGAAGGAGGCAAAGGAGAAATGGGAATAGTTTGTACATTCATTAAAAAATATTAAGAAAAAGTTAAAAAGAAAAAGAAAACTTTATTTTTTTGTTCAAATAGCCATTTATCAAAGCACGTCCCACGAGAATAAGATACCCAAGGGAATCACCATTGTAAGAAAACACTATTAGTTCCTATGTTCCCCAGAATGATTTCCTATGGAAAAACATCGGCCACTCGGTGACTTTTATTTGGGCAATCTAAAATGTTCGTTTACCAAGCAGCCATGCCTTGCTTCTTTTGAAAGGCATTTATATACAGTACCATCATTAAACAATCGGACCAGTCCATTCAGTCAGAACCATGACAAAACATTTTGGAATATCAAAAGCCGTCACTGTTTAGGCAGAGGTGATAATGGCAAATGCATCACTGTTATTGTTGTTACATTATTTCCAGGGGTATTTTTTAAAATGCCCAAGGGTCGCAGAATTCTAGATAATCGGACCCAGCCGGATGGAATTATCCAAAAGGAATTTTTTAGGTTGCAGCTCTGATGAGCTTCTCCTTGCTCCAGGAATTACTGGGACAGAAACAATTGGCACTACCAAAGCAGGCTTCTTCCTCTGCATCCTTCCTCCAAAGATGCACAGTGTGTCTTGAAACATCCTTAGACAGAGCAATGTTACACATCAAGAACATTCTTTTAAAAAATTACTTGACTCTATCATTCGCCTCCCTAGTGGTTTCCTTTTATAAGCCTTATCTATTTTGGACACTTGTTCATTTTCTCATTAAGCGCAAGTTTGAATCAGCTTCATAGGAAATTGGCCTTCAGAAAAGAGTGAACAGCTGAGTGAAAATCAGGTAGAGCTTTCACATGACAGACCAATTTGGACAAGAGAAATGTTAATCACAGGACTTTACACCCTGGGATATCTTGAACTTGTTCTCACCCCTGCCAATGGCGGCATGCCAACAAAAGGCCTGACAGCGCTCTATAATTCTGCCTATTGGAATTTCCAGTGATGATAGTATCAGCTACTTAGGTAAGGGCCAGTCTGCCTTACCAATAAATCTGTTCAATGGCAGCCAGAGAAATCCAGAGATTCAGGTATGTACGCCAACAGCCAGTTTGTGACGGCACAATATCAGCACAGCGTAATCAAGTGCCAGTGTGGTCCAAGCAAAACAGAAAACAACAGCCTCGTATTACATATTACGGTAGTTTATCTTCATAGGTAATACGAGACTGTGCGGTTCAAAGGAAAGAACAGATATAGTAAATGAGAATACTTGGAAGTCTTTTTTAGTTTATTTATAGAAACCTTTTCTGTTCTTTTTGTGAGTGTGCATTAGTATAAATTTAAGTGTTAATATGTTAATATGTTATTGTACTTACATACAATACATTTCTTCCTTTCCCTTCTTCTCTTCTTGTACTAAACGTTGTTATGTATTTATGTTTTTAATTTAAATCAATAAAGATTATTTTAAAAAAGAAAGAAAAAGAAAACAACAGCTGTGCAAACCACAGAGAACTTTGGGGCCACAGCAGCCATTTTCCCAGTATCCAAGGCGACACTAACGGTACACACCAATCATAGGCCAGCATGCTGATAATGCCCCCCCCCCCATCAGGCAGACATGGGAATGGGTCCATTGGGGGATGGGCAAGGACGCCTAAGACAATCCCCCCAAGCACAAGGATGCCGTTGTTCTCTCACAAGCCTCTGCCACTGTGGTATGTGCAGGCAGGCAGCAGGTGTGTAGCAACCAAGAGATCCTTGCAGGCAGGGATCTGAATCCCATCAGTGTCAGGCTTCAGGGAAGCAGTGAATACAAGAAGAGTTCTTACTAATGAGTTAAGGGGCTATTGTCTCTGAGTCCTTTGCTCTTGCACTCTCAATAAACGCCGAGTTCTGGGAGAGGGGGGTCAGAAATACGCTCCAATGATAACGTGTCAGCTGGCTGCTCTGGCTCTGCTTCCCCCCTCCCTTCTCCCAACACATCCCAACTCTTCTGCTCACCTGTCTCTGAGCTGTGACCTTCCCCAAACCACTGCTGTAACCGTCATCACGCCACTCCTTGGTGTGTGGAGTGCCGCAGGGTGCGATACTCTCCCCGATGCTTTTCAACATCTTTATGCGCCTCCTTGCCCAGCTTGTCCAGAGTTTTGGGTTGGGCTGCCATCAGTATGCTGATGACACCCAGCTTTATCTGTTGATGGATGGCCATCCTGACTCGGCCCCAGACACACTGATCAGATGTTTGGAAGCTGTGGCTGGATGGCTATGTGGGAGCCGGTTGAAGTTAAATCCTTTGAAGACAGAGGTCCTCTGGCTGGGACGGGACGATATGGGATTGGGGGGGCAACTCCCATCTCTTGCGGGGGTGCAATTAGTGCCAGCACCGTCCGTTAAGAGTTTGGGTGTAATCTTCAACACCTCCCTTTCTATGGAGGCACAGATTGCAGCTATAACAAAGGCGGCATTTTTCCATCTCCGCCAAGCTAAGCAGTTGGCTCCTTACCTCTCTCACCCTGACCTAGCCACTGTGATCCACGCGATGGTCACCTCCAGACTGGATTATTGTAACTAGCTCTACTGCCCTTGAGATTGACCCAGAAACTCCAACGGGTGCAGAATGCCGCGGCGAGACTCCTTACGGGGTCTTCATCACGGGATCACATTCACCCCATGCTATACCAGCTGCACTGGCGCCCAGTGGAGTACAGGATAAGGTTTAAGGTGCTTGTTTTAACCTTTAAAGCCCTATATGGCATAGGAGCCTCATACCTATGGGACCACCTCTCCTGGTATGTCCCATGGAAGACTTTACGGTCTGCAAATAACAACACCCTGAAGATTCCGGGCCCCAGGGAGATTAGACTGGACTTGACCAGAGCCAGGGCTTTTTGGGCCGTGGCCCCGATGTGGTGGGACGCTCTGTCACAAGAGACTAGGGCCCTGCGGGACTTGACATCTTTCCGCAGGGCCTGCAAGACGGAGCTGTTTCACCAGTCCTTTGGCCAAGGCACAGCCTGACCCCCTCCTTTGGTAATTCTTCACAGAACTCTAGCCCAGTGGTTGCCATCAATTTGATTTGAACTGATTTTATAATGAATTGATTTTAGAGTGCTGTATTATTTTACTGTTGTTAGCCGCTATGAGCCCAGCTTCGGCTGGGGAGGGCAGGATAAAAAAATAATAAAAACTGCCGCCTTCCTCTTCTCTGGAAGCTTCAGGAGAAGGGGGGGAGCAATCTCCACCATTCCTCCTCCATCTTGTCCCCTTCAGTCCATCTCTGACAATCAGACATGGAAGAAATTCTGGAAGCAGGACCAATGAATAGGATTGCCAAGATACTGAAAAGAGAGAGATTTGCGGCCGTTACACTTTAAGGCACAGCTTCTTCCCGCTTTCCTTGCTATAGACTCCATTTGCACAATATATTTAAAGCAGTATCATACCACTTTAAACAGTCCTGGCTTCTCCTAAAGAGTCCTGGGACAATAGAGTGGTTTAGCAACCATCCCTCATTCCAGGGAACTCTGGGAATTGTAGCTCCGTGAGGGGAATAAGGGTCTTCTAAGAATGCTCAGCACACAGCAAACTACAGTTCCCAGAATTCTTTGGGGGAACCTAAGGCTGCGGTAGATGTATAGCATTGATGAGGCCATAGTCCTGTGCAGAACACACTGCCATGTGAGTAAGGAGTTTCCTGGCCATCTGACAAGGAATGTACAACTACTAAACTTACGTAGTGACCTTGGACCAGTTGTTATCACTCAACGTAACCTACCTCACAAGGAGAACCATGTACGCTGCCTTGAGCTCCTTGGAGGAAAGGGGCTATACAACTGTAGTAAATGAATGAATAGATAATTCTGCTGTGGAGATAAGCTAGAAAGAGAGGCTTGCCCAGTGCCGGATTTATGTATAAGCTGAACAAGCTATAGTTTAGGGCCCCACTCTCTTGGGGGGGCCCAAAATCACTATTAATATACTTCTTAATTGTATTTCAGTTCAATGATTACTTCGATAAACTACATATTTTGTTGTGTGCAAATGGCTTTAGATACCTATTAGGTCCGTAAATTACCGTATAGCATATATTCAACACAAAAAAACAGTGACAAAGGATAGCTAGACATATAAAGGGCCCCATGACCTTCAGGAGCTTAGGGCCTCATCCAGCCTAAATCCTGTCCTGGGCTTGGGATCTCACCACGGGTCTTCAGGCTCTGCCTCCTGTTCTTATAAGGGGTCAGGCTCCGGCCCTTCCCTCCCCCCCAAGTCTGAGCTTCAGGAGATTTTGCAGCTGTAGTGTAAGACAGATTACACTGACAAAGAAAGTGAGTGGCAAGGCAGATGACAGTGCAGTTCTAGACAGGTCTACTCAGAAGTAAGCCCCACTCAGTCCACTGGGACTCACTCCCAAGTAAGCACAAGCTGCCTCAGAAAATTTCATGGCTGGACCAGAATTTGAGCCTCAAAATGGTCTGAATAGGAAATTTCTGAAAATGATTAATTCCTATTTCAAGTTTTTAGATTATATGCATAAGTCCGCAGGCAGGGCCCTATGTTATTTAGTTTAACAGGGACTATTTTCTGAACTGTTGATAATATTAAAGAAGCTGGCTAGACAAACTCTTTGAACAAAATGATGATTTATTACTGTTTGTAAAATATAAAAATCTAATACATAGGGTATGTGCTTCATGCTCCACTGAAGTCAGTAGGACTTAAAATGTGTTTAACTCTGAATAAAACTCACTGTGTGTGTGTGTGTGTGTGTGTGTGTGTGTGTGTTCACCATCATTAAAGAAATGTGTTACTTTAACTACTGATCTTCTGGAAGAGAAGCTCCAGAGACACATTAAAACTGCTTTGAGGGACCAGAACAACAAAATAAACTGTTTCTGTACAAATTAAATTAAGATTATCTAAACAGGGCATAACATTGCCTTTATAAGCAAAAGGTTTGCTTACCTGATTTAGAATGGAAGATTTTTGTGGATGTCAATTTCAGGGGTAACTTAACACAAAAGCTACATTGGCCGAAGCATGGGTGACATGTGAAAGGAAAGAGAAAACAACAGAGGAATATCATGTCTGCACTGGGTGGAGAGGATAATGCTAGGCTGGCTTGCACTTCATGGGAAGCCAAAGCAATGCTTATTGGGACTGCGCAAACATGCTGGCTCCAGGGGAGGAGCTCGTACCCACAGGGTTCCTCCCTGGCTCTTTTAGCTTCTTAGCACAGCATGGCAGACAAGTCAAAGTGCCATCCAAATTCAGGGTCATGGTTAAGCTGTCTCCTCCTTATCTGCAACCAGGGCTGGCTGCCTCTTGGATGGAGGAGGAGGCACTGCTGGTCTCCTCTCACCCTTGTTCTCAATGTACAGTGGTACCTCTAGATACGAACGGGATCCATTCTGGAGCCCTGTTCGCATCTAGAGGTAAAAGTATCTAGCGACGGCATGTCTGCGAACGCTTGCGTCGCTTTTTGCTGCTTCTGCACATGCGTGTGACGTCATTTTGAGCGTCTGCGCATGCGCAAGCGGCAAAACCCGGAAGTAACACGCTCCTTTACTTCCGGGTTGCCGCGGAGTGCAACTCGAACGTGCTCAACTTGAAGCAAATTTAACCCGAGGTTGTTTTTTCTCCCCTGGTTCTGATGTAGATTTTCACTAGCCCCTTCTTTCCTGGCCGGGGTGGGCACCATTTTGTGGTTCGTCGCAGGTTCTAAAGTGTCTTGGGCCAGCTTGTCTATTATCTATTGCTAAAAACAAGCCTTGGCCTACAGATTGTGATTAAGAAGAACAGATCTTAACCAAGATCCCAATTTTTGATGACATGCTAAGCGAAACCTTGTCTTTGCTGCCACACCACACTGAACCACAGAGGAGCACAGCAGTGGCCTGTGAGCTAGCATGTGTGGGTATTCACACTAAACCGTGGTTTGCCTTAGCTATACTGTACAGACAAGGACAGCAGTACAAGAAATTACAGCTTTATCCTCTTAGTCCTTATTCTCACTTGGTGGCCTCAGGTGAGCAATTCTCTCTCAGCCTCAATCCTCTCATCTGCAAACTGCAAAATGTGAGATAATAACACTGACTTGCCTTGTAAAGATTACAACTAGATAATGCATGTGAATCAATTTGAAAGCACTATAAAAATGTTAAGTATTTATATCCAGCAGTATCATAGATCATTCTTAAAACTCCCAGTACAGTACTGTATTTTTTAACATGAGAACATCAGTACCCCATTCATGTTCTTTAATCCGCATTTATGTATGGATGTTTCCAGTAGCAATATGCACTCACCCTGTTGTTGTTGTTTTAATCAATCAGATTTTAAAAATAAAACATGAAGGAATGGAATTGGCCCCATGAAACTCACTTCCTCTTAGATGGAAGGCTAACACTCCACTAAGTGATTTATACCACAGTCAGAGAACAATATTACCATATTGGCCCGAATATAAGCCACACTTTTTTCCCTTCAAATTCTGATTGTGAAAAGTTAAAGTGCAGCTTATATTTGCAACCTTACGGTATCACTGCTGAAACAGCTGCCCAGGAGGGTCATCGGGGGTGCGGGACAAGGGCGTGCCGCCACCCGCAACTCCCAAGCCGGCTTGGGGAGGGAGTGCCAGGAGTGCCGGGAGGCGGTAGAGCCAGGAGGTGGGCCTGCGGCACGCTCAGAGCTGAGCACCGGCCGTCCCCCGTCCAGAGCGGTAGTGCCAGGAGGCAGGCCGCACCCGCAAATAAGCCTTGAATTTTAAAAGTGCAGCTTGTTTTGGGGCCAATACAGTTTTTCGCTGATAGATGAGATTCATCCCGTTATGGCTATTACAAGCGCTGCAAATAAGCATATCTTTAAAAATCATTATTCTAATTCCTAGTGCAAACGAAACAAAACCAACTCCTGTCAGGACTATTATGCATCCCTCGTAGTATTATGCAAGTAGTTTTTAAGCAAAGCACAATAGGTTTTCTAGCCAGGGAAGCCTAACCTATTGTTTCTCCCCTTGCACATCTGGTTGGTTGGTTTGAAAAAGGGAAATAATAAAGAAAACAGCTCCTCTGTAAGATGAACCAAATTTAACACACTTCAGGATGTTCAGGGTGCTGAGAGTTGTTAGGAGACCTGTGGTCTCCCGACTGCGCTACGATTCCCAGAGTCCCCTGGAAAGAGGGATTGGCTGTTAAATCGCTCTGGAACGGTAGTGATGCCAGGGGAATAGGGGTCTCCTAACGACTCTCAGCACACTTCAGAAACTACAGTTCACAGAATTCTTTGGGGGAAACCCTGACTGTTTAAAGTGGCTTTAAATGTATACTGCAGATGAGGCCTGAGCCTCAGCAAAAGTTCTTTTGGACGTGTCCTGATTGGGGGAGAAAGGAGAAGCCTTGTGTGGATATTTATTCAGCTATGCTGACAGTTGAATCCATTTTTAAATACTACTGTAACTGGAATTTTCCTTCTCTGACTGTGTGCCTCTTGGATAACAAAGCTGGAATAGTTTTGCCACTGTGGGAACAAAAGAACATTTAGAAATTGCTCAAAACCCTTGAGGATCCAAAAGGAATCTTGAAGACTTTCTGAGGTTTTGATGTTTAATGCTGTCTAGAGCTGGAGCATAGTTCCCCACTATGATGGAAAATGTTCAGTGAATTGAGCTATGCACTTTTGCATGTTCCTATCACAGTGCGATTCCTGCACTGCGAGGGGTTGGACTAGATGACATTTGAGGTCCCTTCAAACTCTACAATTCTATGATTAACCCCTGCCCTTCTTCCTTCCTTCCTTCCTTCCTTCCTGTCCTCCTTCCTGTTTTCTTCTTGAATATTCTGGAAGCAACAGAATAAACTGCAGGTATCAGCATACAAGAAGCAACTGGTGCTGAGAGAGAAGTATTTCAAAATGAGAAAACTTCACAAGTATAAAAACACTGTTGCATGGGTCTGTACTAATTTGAAATAAAAAATAGGGACTGACAATAAAGCACAGGACAGCTTAGCTAGTTGGCAGATGATGGACAAGGTTGGCGAGGCTTTGAGACTGTTTTTAGAATAAGCTGTACCTTGAGCACTTACAGTCCAGGAAAGGGTCTGCAAAGAGAAATGTCTAGCAATAAATGAACTATAGCATCTTACAGAGTTCTTTCTAGTGACATGGATCTCTAGGCGCTTCACAAAGTCATATCTTTTTTATATTCCAAAAAATATCAGAAGATGTTTTGAGTGTAGACCAGGCAGCACAAACAGCTCTCATAAAACAGCAGTATGGTAGTAGTTTGCTGCTATCCTCAATTCCCCCTTAACTCAGTGCTACTTTGGGAAGGAGTCCATCTCTGTCTGAAATTCCTTCGGGCCCTGCATAGTGTTTCCATTTCTATTTACAGCCTAGAAGAGTTCAGTGAGATGCGTGAACCATACTTGTTGGGTTTTTCCACTGACCCAAGATGCCTGAGGCATTACAGAAAAGGTCTAGATATTGTCATTGTGGCGTGCTTTTCACCCCAGCCAAGAAGTGTTGTTGCTTTCTCAGTTTTTTACAAACCTAGATGGACACTCACAGCTTTTCTTTATGGGTGGTGAGGGTCCAGAAGAAGTAGAGGGTGCAGTGGACAAAACATATTTTGCTAGACTATAAGGGCGTTCCATTAGTAAAGAGAAATCACATTCTGAATGACTGCAGAATGCAGTGTCCTAGTAAACGGATACTATAAAGCATGTGTGCAAGATGCAGCCATGACCTCCTGGCAGCAGCATGAAGCCTCGGTTAGAAAACACCCATCTTGAAATCAGGTACAGCCATGGATTGAAGAAAAATGGATAGCTGTACTTATTCAAAATTGACTAAAGTAACTGGAGGTCAAATGTGACATTTACCATCTGAATTCTGAATGTGAGATTTTACCGCAGGATTCATCTCTAATGGCTTTGCTATGCGTTTCCTGACATCTCTTAATTGTTTTGCTTCTGGCAGGTGTCAAATATGAATTGTCACAGGCTATCAAATGCTGTCAAATGTGCATGTCAAACAGTGCAAAACAGTAAACATTAACAAAAAAAAGCCCCAAATATGAATGTGAAGGGCCTTGGGTTGATGTGGGCGGTGTGGAGCTGTGAATTTGGGTTTCCAGCTTAAAGTCTAGGCTTTTGGCCTCCTAAGCAGAATCTGAGTGTTCTCACTGGGGTGGCCCCAGGCAGGCTTGAGGAAATAAATAGGTTTCTGACTTTGTCAGAGATTTCACTTACCCCAAGCACACACTCCAAAGCTGCTACTGAATCCCAGGGTTATATGCAACAAGCATCAAAATTAAATGTACTGACATTTTAAGAAAAGGGGGGGAAATATTGGTGTCTGGCTGGACATTGAGAAGTGGGGGCTAGGCACTGAGGAGTGGGCATAAGGAGAAGGGGGGGGTGGAGACTGACTTGGAAGAAGGGATCCGTGATCTGGGGGAGCCTGTAACAACCAGGAGACAAGAGTCAGAGGCAGCAGAAGCTGCAGGATCAGAGCGTGAAGAACAGGTAGCTGAAAGCCTTTCCCTGTCTTGTAAGTGTACCTTTGACAATAAAGACTGAATTCCTCACTCTGGACCTCCCATGCTCCACAGCGCCGTCACAGCTGGTCCCCTAAATAGGGCAAGGGCTTGGAAGGAACACCCAGAAGAAATCAAAACCAACGCAAACTGGGAGGAGCAGAGCATGAAAAGTCAACATCAACATAAGGGCAGATCCTGGAAAGAGGGTCATAGGGAGGAGAGCCTGTACGAATCTGACAGGCAATGTACAGAACCACAGTGAACCACAGGTGGCTTGAAAACAACAGTGGGGGCTGCCCCTGTAGTTGAACAGTTTTTCAAACCCAGATCCTGTTTACCTGTTTGAACACTATTTCACAGGATATAAAACCACAGGCAGTTGATTAGCAACCCTAATCAAAACATATCAGAGGGAGAATCCCCACTCTGGAACACTCAAAGCACCCACTAGGGTTCCAAATAGACACCACAATCGCAAACTGGCTGAGTAGATCCCGTTATAGGTGAAACAAATTATAGTTCACATGCAAGTTAACAGTGCCAAATTAGATATTTTGAAAACGTGCCAAGGACTGGCTTCTAGAAGAGTCTCTGACTCACTTCCTGGTTTCACTGCTTTTCCCCAAGAGATTTCCGAAATGCTGGAAATTTTGGTTTCCTGCCCTGCCACCCCCAGCCCACCCCACCCCCAACCTCCTTTCTGATGCCTTCAACTTTCACATGCCAGAGTGGCGGTACAGCAGATTCTTAGTCCTTAAAATAAAGAAAACTGTCTGCAAGACAGTTTCACAAACATAATTTCCTAGCCTACTCAGCCCAGTGTTTTGAAATCATACTTCTGCCACCATTTTAATGGTGAGTCTTTTAAAAGAGGCCCCGTGGAACATGTGTACTCTGTATCCACGGGGCCTCTTTTAAAGGACTCACCCTGTATATATGTTCTTTCCTGTTAAGTTGCTGATAAACGTTACCAAGGACAATGGCCTCTTGCTTCCATGGAAGTCTACATCAGAAGAGGAAATTAGCACAATATGGGATGTGATACTTTTCAAAACAAATTTTCAGGGGCTTTGCTTCCCTCAACTAAGGATGGGGGCGGGGAGTGACAGAGATATTGTGTTTGGTTCATTTCGGATTTTAATATGAATTTTTCTACTTTGCAGTTCCTGGAACAATACACAAACTGAAACGCAGCTATGTTTCAAAATCTGGACTTCTTTGAATTTTTGCAATGCAGATTTCCAGCCAAACCATGTGTACCATGTGGCTGCTGGTCTTCTTGCAGGACAAAGAAGGAACTATCAAAATTTTGGGGATTTCCCCCCTGAAGTACATGCGTTTGCCATGGTGATGTATGATCTCGTCCGAGCATTTAGAAAGTTGTGTTTTCAAAGGGTGAAGAAGTAGCACAGAGCAAGCAGGCTGCATCCCTAGATGCTCACTGAAATGAAGGGCCACAACATTGTTTCACTTCATTACGGATATTATACCCTGAAGTGTGACTCGTTTCACAGCAAAATGGAACAGGATTAGTTCTAACAGTAGAAATAAGAAGGCACCAGCAAAGCAAGGGCAGCAACTACTACAAAGTAATATCTTTTTTATAATAAAAGAGAGAGAGAATATGACATTAAAAAAAAAAACACCAGACACTCTTCCCCCTCATCTCTGTTCTCTTTTTATTCCTTATCTCCAGCAAAACCAGGTGGTGTCCTCCCATATTCTGCACATTCTCTCAATCTTGTTGGCCCCATTGCTGTTGATGGTTCCCTCAGCCAGTCAGTTACTTTAGACATCTCTCTGGCTCCAGCCTTAAAAGCCTATTTGGGCAATGAATGATCGGGTGTTGAAATCTGTTTCCAGTACTCACTGGGAGGCGCATGCAGTGGCAACAAGTGCAGTTCTGGAGTACTACTCAAAGAATGTGGATAACTTAGAGGACTTCCGGGGTGGCGCCATCGGCAATGGCGGACTCCCTCTGAATTGGAGGGACTAGCTCCGCGCGAAACGGGTCTTCTCCGCTACGGCGAAGCGGGGACCCTTTTAAAAATCACAGGCGGATGAAGCCTGTGACCATGGGACTCGGCGGGCACCCTTAGCGCCCCCCCAACCCGCAAAGGAACCCACTAACGGGCTCCGGCGAAGAGGGGGAAGTGGCGCGGTGCTGTGAGTCAACTGCTATTTCCGTGGAGCGAAGCCGCACAGCTGTTGCCGGAGAGCGCTGCCTTTTTCCTGGGACAAATTGGCTTCTAAAATAAGCACCCGTGAGTACTCAAACTTTGAACAATTGGACTTTAAATAAGGACTTGCAAGCAGAAAGGAATTGGACTTAAAAAATTTATTTCAATTTGGCACTGAAACGGGAAGGTCTAAACAGGAAGTCAGCCTTCCGTTTCTTTGTAGACAGAATAAAGCAAAGACAACATAAACTAGAGCTCAGAAAATCGCCTCTAAAGGATTGGCTTTCATCATTTAAAATTGTTGAACCCCCCTTCGGCAGCAGGAGAAGAAGGGGATCTTTTCTGAACTGTTTAAACCTGCAGAAGTGAGTTTAAAGTAAAGTAACTTTCCACCGTCCTGATCCTGGAGCGGGGTGTCAGGACTGACGTTTGAAGCTCATCGACCAGAAATAAGCGCTTTTGACAGATAGCTAAAAGAAGAGGAACATAGTGATTCCATTGTTTCCTTTCGCACCTTAAAGGAACAAATATTGACAAAATAACTGAAAAAAGGAAACTCTGTTGTTAGACTTGTCTTTAAAAGAAAGATTAAACAGACGTTTTCCCCCTAGAAGGAGACTGTGAAACTGTAACCAACTCCTGGGAGCCGGCATCTGTTACAGATTACAATCGTGGGAATAGACATCTGACCTTCAGGACAATGTATTCAGAAGCTCTGTTGTGTGCTTTCTATAAAACAAATGCCCTACTGGAACAGTTACATGAGAAGACGAATTTGATGGCTGACTCGATTAGAAATTTTGAACAGGCAGTGGGAAAATATGTGGAGCCCACCCAGGAATTAAATCAGGAGTGTGTCTTGACAGAACAGGCCCTACAGGAATATGAGCTTTCAGATTTGACAAATGAACTTGGAAAAAGCCAGATTTGGAAAGAAAAAGTTTGGTTTGGTTTGGAAATGGGGGGTTGGATAGACCCTCCTATGAAACTGGACTTTTCAAGTCTGGCAATGGGCCGTGAGATGTTTGGGATTGTGGGGGCTCTTAATTTTGGAGGGATTCTGAAACATGTTTTTAAATACCACATGGAGTTTAGTGTCGATTATGGAAAAGGGGCTGATCTGTCGAGAAGGGTCAAAAATACTGCTAAGTTGGAGTTCCCACGAGTGAAAGGAGCAGGAGACAAAGGAAAATACAGCTATAAATATGAAGAAGAGCTGCGGAAGGGACATGGAAGGGACTTAAGGGCCTCGGATATAAGATTACCAGGTTAATGCGCCAGATTGATGGGATAATGAGGACTGACAAAACCCGGGACCAGGAGGAAGGGACGCTGGATGAAGATTGGATTTGTTTTTATTTCTTTTTTTCACTACTAGGACTGTTTTATAAAATTGATGAATGTTAGAAAAATGTTGGAATGAAATTACTTGGCTTTAGTAAAAATGTTTAAAGAATTATGCAAGAATATCATGGTTATGAGAAGTTGGTAAAAATAAGATTTAAGTTTTAAGTCTCAAGGTTTTTTTATAGTAAGATAAGATTAAAATAGTTTAAGGTAATGTAACGACAGAATATTATGAAATATGGAAAATGAATGTTAGAATGATGTTGGATAGAAATTAAATGGTTTTTAGCTGAAATATTATATGGGAATATGAAAAATGGATTACTAACAGGTAAAAATTTAATGTTGCAATACTTTAAGATTAAAGATTAGGATAATCAAAGAGGGGAAGGATTTGCTGAACCAACAAACTGAACTGGAATACAAAAAAGGGAGGCGTGAGGAGGTCCGAGAAACAAGCTAATGAAAAATAAGTAATGGAAAGATTGACTTGTTTTTAACTATTTTTATTTTGTATTTTTCTTTTTTCTATTTTTATTTTGTAATATTTTGAAAACCTTAATAAATATCTTATATATAAAAAAAAGAATGTGGATAACTTAGAAAGTACAGCTGAAGATGAATCACAGAAGGCAAAAAATATTGCAAACAAGAACTAGAGAGTCTATCCATGTTGACAATGCTGAATGAAGTTTTACAGTGCTTTCACCGCACAAGTTAAGCTCACCAAGAAACAGCATTGAATTTTAGGAACAAGTCTTGTGCATCTATTTGCTAAGCTCTAATTAATGCACTTGAAGCTAATGTGAAGAGGAGAGGTGAAGTGTACAAACAAGTATCAAGTAGATTTTATTTTCTAAATGATATGGACATCTGATGAACAGTATCCACAAGGTTCCCAAAAGCTAGTTGGCTCAGTTGATGGGAGCATGACTCTCTGTGGAGCAGTTCCACTGTTATATGTGTGCAAAGCTTAATGAAATGAGGAAAGTGAAATTCAGTCACATCAATCTTCATGACCCAGTAATGGAAGACAGAATACAATGTGTATTTCCAAATGCAGAGATTCCACCAGAAGCACCAACTTGTGAGGAAGATGGCATTGCATGTGCGACATCCTGGCTTTGCGTCAGCACATCAGAGGAGCCAGGGAGCAGAGCCGCTTTCTGCCTCCTTCCCCTCTGCGGCAGAAGGAGGGAAGCTGTGTTGCACTCAGCTCCATGCTTGGCTCCTGGGTTTTTTGTTTTTGTTTTTTTTTAAATATTTATTGGTTTTACAAAAAAAAAGAAAAATTCCAGAAAATGCAAAATTACAAAGGTTCAACAAACAAAAAACAACATTAACCATAACAAAAAACAAACAGAAATAACAGTATCCATAACAAAGAAAGAAAAAAGAAAAAAAGAAAAAGAGGCAAAAAAGAAACATTTTAAAAGATAATATACTTTCATTTAGCCTTCTTATCTTTACCTAGTTCTTTGACTTCCCCGCACCTCCCCGCTTGTATTTCCATTTAAGAGCTCCTTTCAGCAAATCCTTACCCTCCTTTCATTATCTTAACTCAAAAAGCTTAATCTATTTATATATAAATATTTTTACAACCTTGTCGATCAAATATTCCATACTCTTAATCACAAGGGTTTTGCCAATACCAGTTATTTTCAATCAGACTTCAATTTAACATTCATTAATTTTATAGTATTTCTGTAGATAAACTTTAAATTTCTTCCAATCTTCTTCCACCGACTCTTCTCCCTGGTCGCGGATTCTGCCAGTCATCTCCGCCAGTTCCATATATTCGATTACCTTCATCTGCCATTCTTCCAGGGTGGGTAAATCTTGTGTCTTCCAATACTTTGCGATGAGTATTCTTGCTGCTGCTGTTGCATACATAAAAAAAGTTCTGTCCTTCTTTAACACCAATTGGCCAACAATGCCCAAGAGAAAGGCCTCTGGTTTCTTTATAAAGGTATACTTAAATACCTTTTTTAACTCATTATATATCATTTCCCAGAAAGCCTTAATCTTTGGGCACGTCCACCAAAGGTGAAAGAATGTACCATCAGTTTCTTTACATTTCCAGCATTTATTATCGGGCAAATGATAAATTTTTGCAAGCTTGACTGGGGTCATGTACCACCTGTACACCATTTTCATAATATTCTCTTTTAAAGCATTACATGCTGTGAACTTCGTACCTGTGGTCCATAACCGTTCCCAGTCAGCAAACATAATGTTATGTCCAATATCCTGTGCCCATTTAATCATAGCAGATTTTACCGTTTCATCCTGAGTATTCCATTTTAGCAGCAAGTTATACATTCTTGAAAGTGTTTTAGTTTTGGAATCTAGCAGTTCTGTTTCCAACTTTGATTTTTCCACCTGGAAGCCAATTTTTCTATCCAAATTATAGACCTCTCTTATTTGGTAATAATGCAACCAGTCTCGCACTCTATCTTTTAATTTTTCAAAACTCTGCAATTTGAATTTGTCTCCTTCTTGTTCCAAGATCTCCCAATATTTTGGCCACTTGGCCTCCATATTGGACTTTTTTAGAGCCTTTGCCTCCATTGGTGATAGCCACCTTGGGGTTTTGTTCTCCAATAAGTCTTTGTATCTTATCCAGACATTGAACAATGCTTTCCTGACAATATGGTTTTTAAATATTTTGTGAGCTTTAACCTTGTCATACCACAAATATGCATGCCACCCAAACACATTATTGAAACCTTCCAAGTCCAAAACATCAGTGTTTTCCAGAAGTAGCCAATCCTTCAACCAGCAGAAAGCTGCTGATTCATAATAAAGTTTAAAGTCTGGCAGGGCAAATCCCCCTCTTTCTTTAGCATCAGTCAATATTTTAAATTTTATCCTGGGCCTCTTGCCCTGCCAGACAAACTTAGAAATATCTCTCTGCCACTTCTTAAAAC